TATTAACATAATCATAATCATGATTTCGATACATTGATAGTATTGGTGAGCAGGCTCCACAGAGGTTCTGTCAGACTCAAGTTAGAAGAAAAAGATGGCTTCATCAAGACCTTGATTTTGCTTTCTTCACGTTGTGTCATTGTAATCCTAGAACTGGGTGGTCTTTAACTCTCCTGTTGGAAAATCAACACTTTGAGGGCAATCTTCCTGCTTAGCAAAAAGCATTAAGTCCTTGAGCCAACATTTTTTTTTTTCAATCTTGGGAGCCAACTTGAACATGCAACAAAGACTTTTTTGTATTAAAGAAAATGCCTCCACACATCATCACACTTCCATTGCTCCCACTGCTTGGCCTGAATAATGCTAACAATTAGCATAACCCTCACTACGACATCTCCACACAAGTTGTGATCCATCATGTCTGTCAAGGGCAAAATGGCATTCTTTGGTCAATGTAACACTCCTCCATCCCCTCATGTTGCCAATACAGATCGCAAGTTCCAGTCATTCTACCGATGCATGGGTTATTTCTTCCTGGAATGTCTAATGCTGTAACCACTACAGCCTAGAAACCATTGCAGAGATGGATCAGGCTGAGATGATGATCCTGGACTGGTGTGGGGACTCTCTGCCTTGCTGGGGCTCCTATCATGGAGCTCTGGACTGCTCTGCTGATTTCTGGAACTGCTCTGACAAACAGGCCTGCCTTCAGTTATAGCCACAGCAACCAGGGAATCACCATTATCCAAGCAGGACATGGTTGTATTATTGTTCTTGCATGAATTAACATCATTTCTATTTGAATGGTCATTGGTGCAGATTCTTACATCTTATTTTGTCTGTCCATTATTTTACAATTAAATGCCATGCCTTTGCTATGAACTCTTAAAAATACTTTGAGGCCAGGGGACTGACTACAGAAATAATTTAATAAGCAGAGCTATGGATTACATGGATCAGTATTTTAACATTCAAATGTGATTTGTTTTAAAAAAGGTGAAGGGTGTGAAAAGAAGTTATATTTTCTGTATCTTTATGTCTGTTTTTTCTTTGTTAAAATCACTAAATAGGTTTGCCTCAGCATTTGAGCCATTACATTGTAATCCACCTACCCAGTCATTTTAGTTGTTTCCCCTCTAACATGTATTCCTGTGTTTTTCAAAACCTCAACTATGTGAAGCATGCTGAAATGCCAAGTGGGTAAGTAGAGATATTACTAATTTATGGCACTGAACTTTGTTGGCTACAATTCTAAACTCTCCACAGACCAGTGATTTAACCTCAGTCTTTCATTTGAACCTGACTTTGAAACCAAATGAGAACATCATTCTGATGTGAAGTGAAGCTAAATGCACTTGCACAATAAACGTACTCTGCTTTTTTATTGAATGTGTTTTTCACTGATTTGAAAGGACAGCATTTCTGTTATTCAGTTATCAATGTTGGAAGGCTGATAAAATCGTTTTGAGAGATGTCTGTTCCTTTAGTGATTTAAATCTCCAATAGCAATAGCACTATCAATTTTTTTTTGGTTCTCCAGACAACACGGATATTTTAAAGATTTTTTTAAATAATAACTAAGCATTAGAGAGAGCTTTGCCTTTGATATTTACATGAAGAGCAATGTTAAAAATTTAAATTCCTCACCTAAATGCCATACATCAACCATATTGAAGTATTTTTGTTTTAAATGATCTGTCATTGATTGCAATAGAGAATATCTTTTAAAATCCTGTAAAAGCATGTTGAAAAAGGGAACTGTAAATACAATTATGTTCAATGTTCTGAAAAAAGGCAGAGATTCTGTGTTTGCACTTTCAACCATCTGGTTGTGTTAATAGCATTAGAGAAATAACTTGTAACCGTCAAAAATTCCTGGATGAAATCCAAATGACAGAGTTTGATTTAGCTGTCACAAGGATTGATTGGGGGCTTTATTTGAATGAATGTTTTATGCTGTGCAGAATATCTCAATTCACAGGATAAAACAGAAAACAAATTAAGCCAAAACAGTAAGTTAAAGTTGATGCAAAAATAAAATAATATGGTAACAAAGGAAAATAAAAGAAAATTGGTTTTGATTGCAATTGTAGTGCTCCCATTGTAATTTCAAAACTAATACACCTTGGCACTTCTAAGTGGCTCGACAAGTAAAGGCACTCACTTAGAGCACAGGCTGAGCTCTGTAATTATTGTGTCATTAGTTGATGTGACAGGCATTACCCCAAGGAGTGGCACACAATAGACAGAATGCCGCTAGGTTTGAGCTTGAGTTGGCTGAGATGTCTTTGTGTCTTTGACCCCCCTGTGTATCATACCATAGAACTTTAAATATTATGTGCCAATGTTCTTATCTTGAGGTGTTACTCAATGCCACTGAGATTTTCTGGTCTGTTTACATCAGTCAAAGGTTATCTGTAACCTATCAGCCATAGGGTTATCTTTGACCAATCAGAGGGTAAGAGCATTTTTTTTAGAAATCCAGTATTTAAGTTAAAGGTAAGCCAGATGAGAATAAATGAAGACAGGAGAGTTTCTTTAATACAAGAAAAAAATGATTACATTTAGCAGGTACTTAAAACCTGCCACTGAATAAATTTAGAAACTGGGATGTATGTATTTCATAACTGTGGATATACATTTATTTCCTCGAATCTGTTACAAATCTTTGTCATCTGTTTGGATGCATTTGTATGCAGCAGTTACAGGCCATTGCTACCTAACCTGTGGACATTCCAATCTGCTCCATTGCAGAATTTTGCTCCACTGAGGATCTTGATCCTGTTAATTGCTAATTTAATAACTCCAGATCTGGCTGGAAAATATTCGATTGGATTAGAAAGGTCATAATCTTTGTACCTCTGAATTTGGGTATTATTTTATTACCTAAACGTGTCTGGTGTAATGACATTTCTTGAGCCAGTTTGAGAATTAAGTCAGAGAATTTTGAGAGTCCTTGCATTTGCTATAGTTTGTAAATATTTTTGTAATATTTAATTATATTTGTAATTTTTTATAGTATTTTTTCTTTTGGGAATTTACTGAAGAAGGGTCTAGTTTTATTTAATAAATGTTGGTTCATATTTGCCATCTATTTTATCTGCATATTCCATTGCTGCAATTGGTTAATTTTGTTCAATTAACCAATAATGATTGACTGCTAATGGATCAATAAACTATTCATTTTGATTGAGTTAATACTGCCAAATGGGCTATATAGGTCAAATGGCCTCCTCTCGTTTGTAACTGTTCTCATGTTTTTGTTTTAAACTCCATTTATCAACACCCCCATTTCACAACAATGTTTAAACTAACCTCTCCATTTCCTTAGCAGCATCAGATTATTAACAATTATAATGTTTCTTTTATCTCCACTCTGCACATCCTGAGGTCTGAGTTGTCCAACTTCACTACAGATCACAGATGTACACAGTTTAATGTACAACATAGCAATATGTCCAGGCTAAAAACAAGAAACAACTGTAGCGCGCCAGAGAGCTAAAAATAAAAATAATAATTGAACGCCCTCTTGTGGACAATATTTTTAAAATGACATTTTTAATGAAATATCGTAATAAAACTATCATATTGGGAGACTTAATGTGAGCAAAACCAATAATAATCTGCAATAAAAAATGACTTTTTCTATCAAACACAGGACACGAATTCTTCACAGGCAGTCATCTTATTTGCATTGCATGAGCCAGAGCATGTCACTCTCCATTCTGTCAATATCTCTGGTCAACACATTATTCAGCACTATACTTCCCTTTGAAATGATCAACTTCACAAGATATTCAATTTTTAAGTTCTATAAATATTCCTGGCCTCAAAAGGGTAATATTAATGTGTTGTTGTAGAAATCCTCTTTACATTAAGCAATACTGAATAGCTGTGCCTAATGTTAGTTCACTGCAATGCAGGATAATGAGTAAACACGATTAGTGTTCCGTTGTGCCTATGGTGGTATGCCTTTATGATTTTTTTCCTTTTCAGCATTATTTTTACAAACCTTTTAAATGGGGGTATAATCCACAATGTATAAAAAAATGACATGTAATTTATGGATGACTCAGAAAATAAATGAATAACTTTTAGCCCTCAAGTAAAAGAGATCCCTTAATGGAACAAACTGCTAGGTTAATTGATCAGTTCTTCAGGATCTCTTTTCCCAGTGTTAAAAAAAAGTTGACCTATAAGACTAGCTGCACTGAGGCTCCCTAGTTCAGGCCTGTATCATGTTATATTATATCATGTCTGTAGTTTGTGTCTTTTATAATGAAAAGATCTCATCAGAACCTAGAAGCTAAGCAAGGTTTGGTTTAATCAATACTGGAATGGGAGATATGTAAGAGGGCAGCTGTAAGTGGTGCTGGTGGACCAGTAGGGGGCACTCTTTCCACCCCGACAGAATTCCCCAAAGTAACAGACTTCAGCATAATGACTGGAGACACTGTGCTTTAGGAGGTACCATCCTTTGACAGAGCTTTTAAAATGAGGTCCTGATATTTTGGTCCTTAATTCATTTAGTGACATAATTTCTTACTTCTCCACCTGGTCTGCTGGATAGTGGGGCTGCTGACATAGAATGGCTGCTGCATCATCCACTGGGGGCAGCACTTCAGTGTTCAGCAGCAGAAGGAGTGGGTCCCCTTCTATAGGGCTAAGGGATTTAAACCGCTACACACATTTAAGTAATTTCTAACTAATAACTATGAATCTATACAGTTTAATGTTATTCCCTGGATCTTACTGGCATATTCCATAATTAAAGGGTTGCTACAAGAAACACCAGAAAGCTTAAATAATTTAAGAGCTTAGACATTTTATGCACAGTTAAATGAAAAAACATGAACACATTTTAAACAATCATCTCTCTGTAAAATATTTCCCTGTGACATAAGCTAACATTAATACTACCTAAAAGAAATTTCTCTGGAAACATTTTGTAAAGGCAAAACAGTATTTTGTGGTGTGCAGAGTAAAATTACACTTGATACTTAAAATTGATACTTAATTTATTCTTTTAAAATTATCCAGCTGGTTTTGAGTTTTGTCCAGTTTCAGAAGGGAATTTTTCTGTTTCTCCGAGTTTTTCTCTGCCTAGCTGCAAAGTGTGCATAGAGGGGCCCAGCCGAACAATTTTCCCACTTCCAAGACACTCGTCGCCCTTGTAGAACACAGCAAACTGAAAGACAGACAGCAAATCCCCGTCACAGGCTGTGAATTATACGCTGAAGGATGAGAACTCTGCTGACTGTGGAATAAAGTAAAACAAAACTGATCTTGTCTGCAACACACTGAAGAGCTTTGTTTAAAAAGACCAATGACCAAAAATGATGTTTCTAGTACCTTCAGTTGCCAAATCATTTTAACAGTATCTGGCCTCTGGCCCAGTACTGTAGACAAAGCCAAAAGATTTCCATCAGGTCTCCCAGGAGCTAGTTAGGAGATATGTTTTAAAGAAAAGAGTGAGCTTAACTAGAGCCAAGTAATTAGCACACTGGCATAGACTGTCTTAATCTCTTTAATTACAAAACTTTCTCAATAATAAAATAATTCTCTCAGAGCAAAGAACAGTAATCTCACAGAAATCAACTTGAATTTAAAAGGCCTTGTCATAGATAACCCTGGTCTCCTAACGATATATGTATTAAGTCTCTATAAAAACAAATAAAACATCATGAAATCATAAACTTCAAAATGTTGGATTAACACTTAACTTTAGAAATCCTGCTAACATTGCTTCCATGTTTGTTTGTAGCTAATCAAGGTGCTGGAACACACTCTTTGAAAACCCTTTATTTTCAGAAAACCTTGAGTTTTCTTGGTTTTGGAAGAGAGTGAAGGGTTAATAATTAGATGCTAGACAGGTCATTTCTGTGAAAGAACTATTGGAATTTAAATGTGAATACTTAAGTGTTGTTTTCACTAGTTATATGATGATGATTTACATGAGCAGTTTATCTTTGTAGTTACCTGCCCAGGTGTGAGTGCTCTAACCGGCTTAGCTAATGTGACCCAAACTGTTCCATCCTGGTTAAGGGTTACAGTACATGGCACTGTAAAGAAAGACAAAGAGAAAATCACTATATATTATGGAACTGTTTTGTTATTCTTGCTGTTATTACAAACACTAATATCATTATAGTTATTATGAGTACCATTACTACTATGAGAAAGAAGAATTATCTACATTCAAATTAATGGTAATAAAACTGACCAAATCACCTGCATATTGAAGGAGAAATTCCTCCTTTTGCTTGAAACAGGTTTATTTTTTTCAAAACAGTTTTTCATTCTGCCAGGTCCTCTGCATTGCCATTCACAAGAAAAACTGTATTTGGAATTATTGGGTTCTGATGATCATACGTATGGGCACAAGAGTGTCTTACTAAGTGGCATCTGGTGCAGGAATCGGAAATGACATTCCATCATTTTTGTCCTAATGAGCTCTGCTGGAGGTTCTTCAGCAATCCAGTGAAATCTGTCAGTACGCAAATTGTCTCTGAACAAAGCTGGGTGGTTGGTTGTTGGTGCCTAGAAAAATAAAACACAGAAAACACAAAAATCTGAGCTGCTGTAAGTATCTCCAATAGCATCTTAAATCCATCTAATTTATACAAAGAGCAGGGCAAAGTAAATCTTAGATCTGTCACTTGCTAGAGAAGCAATACGTTTAAAAATGTTAAAACATAAATATTTGAGTTAAAAAGTATTACAGGCTTGGTATGGACCACTGAATTCATTAGGAATTTGTAGTTTTCTTGAAAAACAGATATGAGGGATATTCTTTATTTCTCTTATCTTCACTTCAATAAGCTACAGTACTAACAACTTTGATAGACTGGCATCCTGTCCAGGATGTATCCTGCCTTGTGCCCATTGCTTGCTGGGATAGGCTCTGGCTCCACCACAACCCTGTATTGTGGAAAAACAGGTTAGAATATGGATGGAAGGATCCATATTCATAACTAAACAAGCTAGATGGGCTGAATGACTTCCTCTGTTTGCAATCTTTCTTATATTCTTATTTCACAAATGCCTCTAAAAAAGAAGAGTTAGGAATGTACAGTGCTTAATGGCTTAGAATATCCTTAATGGCTTAACATATCCTTACCACAAAGACATCTCCAGTAGTTACATCCTTATCCACAACAAACCAGGCATCTCTTTGACCACCAATTCTGGCTCTCTGTCCCAAGGTGAAAGTGAACCAACCTATAGAGGAGGACCAGAGTAGTGTAAGAACAAGGAGAACTGCAAAAGAATGAATGATTTTACAGCCCTTTTTCAATTAAAAACCTACTAGGAACCCCTCATGAAATTCAACTTTCTACTCTTTCTGGTTAAAAGTTTGGTCATGTTCTATTCCCTGTTGTGGGCTGAAAAATGTCTGCCTTAACTTATCCATTTTGTGTATGTCCATACATGCAATAAGCCAGATATTTTCATTGATACCCACCACGCAAACAGGTGTCTGCTTACATTATGTATTGAAAAGAGACACTGACGAACGATTGGGGATGAAACAAATAATTCCTATTTTTCTTATATCATATGTGTAAATACACTAACAGTCAAGTGCTAAATGCTCCACAAAATTATGTCCATTTTCAAATCATTAAAACATACCATTATAATGTACAACACATACAGTGTCTAAAAGCATTACGTTAATATTAAAAATACGTATTTTTAAACTAAGATTAAAAGGCTTAGAAATGGTTAACATGAAAACAATGAATCTTTTTTCCAGTCCTTTCTTGTTGAAGTGGAGAAGTATTTTGTAATTTTACAGAACCCTAAAAAAGAATCTTCACAATGCTCTAGGAATGTAAACATATCAAGCAACCATGAGGCTCACAATTTAACAAGATCAAAATAACAACTTGCCAAATTAATCTCAATTAGGACTGGGTTTATTAAGAGCATCTACTCTGATCTCTACATCTTCTCGACACATTGATTTTACTATGGCATGTTTGTACCTTTGTGGGTTCCCATAATCTTTCCATCTTCTATTGAAACAAAATTTCCAGGATGAGGTTCTAAATACTAAAAAGAAAGAATTCAGTTGCTTATTTTCCTTAAAGTAAAAGAAACAATGTCTAATGTAAAACTTATTTACTTATTTTAGTTAAACCCAGATGGACCTGTGTTACAGTCAAAATGCAGTATGTGCATTATATCAAAGAATCTGAGTCACATTAATGCTGCAATATACTAAGAATTTCCTTACCTCAAGAATAAACTTCTCAAAATTTCTTTCTCCAATGAAACATATCCCCATGCTCTGATCAAGAAAAAATATTTTAAGTTTAAAATGTAGTAATCTAATTCACAATTCAATCACATTCAGTATTGTTCCATGATAGGTGTGTCTTAAAAAATGCCTATAATAAGTAGTACCTATTGTGAAGGAGAACCTCCAACTCCATGCTCCAGTGTATCTGGGGTCACCAGACAAACTGGGTATCAATCCTACAATTACATCCAACTAAGTCATCAGTCTGATCTTTTGGAGACAGGAGGATGGACCAGGATGGCACTTTCCATAAAATTACTAGCAACTAGCAACAATGAAACCACGTAATGTAGTCACAAAAAACAGCAAGGAACAGAATAACAGAATACAGAGATTCTGGCAGGAGAGCAGGAAAGAGTGAGTTAGTCTACACTCCCACCTTTATCTTTGGTTTCGTCCTTAACTTAACAAGAACTGAGTACTTAAGGGACATACAATTAAATCAGGAAAAAACTCTGTATTTTTATATTGGTGGAACCATTAATGTTTCTTTTTTAAATCAATTCCTTATGTATTTTTTTGGGATTATTCAAATCATGAGAACAGTTTAAGTAATGCTTACAAAGATTTGAGTCTACTCCTGAGTGCCTTACGATGGCTACTGTCCACAATGGTAGACTCTCAGAACTCAAACATACTGTAAATAGCACTAGTAACTTCAGTTGTCTTGGTGTTTTGTTTCTATGCGAGTTCTGTAATAAATATTTGTCTTTATTGCCCGTTCCTTTCTCCACCACCAATTGTGCATGAACCGTTAAAGAAGCCTTCTAATGAAGCTGGTGTCAGGACTGATTATGTTTTTAATAAATTTAACTATTAAAGAACCTAAACTTCCTTTGTCAGTAAAATATTCTTATATGCTGTAACTATTTGTTATCTGCTGTGCAAACTGCACAGATTTAAGTCCACATTCTACCATTTATCGGAAGATGTGGTGAAATGTTGATTAAAGATAATGTCTCAAAACAGAACAGACAAAAAGCAAATAAGGCATTTGTGAAGTACGTGGTAAATCTGTATGGCCAGTAGGACAACATAAACATATGGAGCAAATCTGGACGGAGTACCTCCTTTTTCCTGAGAATGTGTCTAAAGCCTGCCTCGGCTGCCACTTTCTTGACAAAATCCTTAGTGAGTCCTGCTAAGGGGAAGATTGTCCTTCGTAGTGCATTCTGGGATATCTGACTGAGGAAAAATGTCTGGTCCTTAAAGAGGTCAGCCGCCTGATACAGTCTTACAGCTTTGATAAAAAGATCAAGAAGTAACAAAAGTCACTATTCATATGAATGAAGTGAATGTGACACAAAATATTCTGGATTAAACAAACATGTTTCAGCCTAGGATAGTGTTTCAGTAGAATACATTCTAGAGAAACTTTAAAGGTATTTACAATTAACAATTTACATATTTGATGTAAGGTTTGATTATTAAGTCTTAAATCTTTTTCTTGAGAGTATAATCCTTTTATTTTTTTAATTTAGTAACTAAGACTTATTTATGTAAAACTAGAAAATGTTAAAGTAATTGTCTAACATTTTTCTAGATTTTCCTTTGTCAGTGAAGCTTAATTCTTATGTGCCAAGATAATTAAATATGTAAGCTACATTTCAAAAGTTTATTGTCAAATGGTAGAAGAATCTTCACAATGCTTTCAACTATTCATAAAGAAATACCTTATGGCAGAGTAAAATTGAAAAATACACCTATGTTAATATATTTTCCTTTATTTAGCTTTCTGAAGCAGTTATTTCGGAAAACCTAGCACCCTAAATATAAACCACAGCAAATATATTGATGCAGAAGATGCAAATTTGTAAGCATTCTTATCATGTAGGGTTGCAGAGATTGGAAATTGCTGCCTAACTATGTTAATGAAAGAGCTTCCCTATGATTTTTCAAGAAATGGCTGTGAAAGATCCTTGAATATAAAACTACTAGTGAAATTAGGAAGATGACCCACAAGGTTTCCTCTCACTTTCTTTCTTTCTTATGTTCCTAATAGAATAAGATTCATAACATAAATGGGCTGTCGATTAGAGTCTCTTCAAGAAAAATATAAAGGCATTAAGTTTTATGTGCTTACAATTTCTTATCTCAAATCTATCTCTGAAGAGTGATTGAGGTGTTGTATAATGTCTCTGTTGAAACACATCTTCATCTTCCAGAGATGTTCTTGCATAGTGACCAGTAGCTATAGCGTCTGCTCCTGTAACAGTTGAAACAAATTAAATCTAGGATCCTCCATATTTTCAGTTATAGTTAAAATAAGTTACTTAACATAATCTAAAAATCAGCATAAAATGGATAACAAATCAATTGGTAATTTTAACAGCTCCTTATACAATTGGTGCTTAGTATGATTTGCTTCTGAAAAAAATACAACTTATCTTCTTTCTTTAAATGGACAAGTAAAGGTTTATTGCATGTTGAAAAGAGAAGAAAAAAACACAACGTTTCGGCTGTGGAGCCTTCTTCGGTTGTGTTTTTTACATTTTGTTTTTTACATTTTGTTTTTAGCATGGAATAAACCTTTACTTGTTCCTTTGCAGCCTACATATGCTGACGCAGATACCTACTTTAACTACTTATTTGTCCTTATGTTGTTGAAAACAAAAATAGAACACAGAAGAGGCATTACCTACCCAAACTGTTGACAGCATAATTGAAGAAGTGTTTAAACTTAATTTGCTTATTACACAATATATCAGGATTCGGAGTTCTTCCTTTCTGGTATTCCTTTAAAAGATTACTACAAAACAGAATACATGATATGCACTAATACACACAAACACGCAGAGATCAAAACATCTGCTCTTTATAATCTAATAACAAATGTAAGATTTTTCATTATAAAATATAAATTTAAATAAGTTTTTTAATACACTGTATCTAACATTTCAGGTAACAGATATGAAGAGATGTGAATATCGATCATTCATTCTTCATTGTACTCACTGGGCTACATCAAGAACATTTACTGAGACTTAAAAACAAACACTGTGATTTTTATATATTTGAAGACTGTCTACACTGTCTGACAATACCATGCCATCACTGTTTTGCATGTACAATTGTTCAGATTTTTTTAGCACCATGGTCTCAGACTCAATCCATACATGGCCTGGTGTCTTCTGTGCCACTCCAGCTATCATACAGTGACACAAGTGGTCTCATTATTTAAACAATTACATAGTTGCAATACTTCTAACCAGACTTCAGGGTGTTTTACAGGTAATTCAACCTTTAAACAAGTAAATGTTTTTACTTATCAGGTGTAAAAGACATTTAATGTTTAAGAAAAAGTCTAAGAAAATAAAGGTTAGTTCTTCAATTAAGTGCTCGAGTGAACAATCAGAAGTTACTAGGCACTACAGAAAAGAAGACTTGTTTCTTGATATTTTGTTTTCCATGCTTTAATATTATTCTTTAATTTAACTCAAAGTAACACCATGTGTAGCCTTCTTAATGCAACCCAGTAAAGATAGATAGATAGATCTAAGGTCATGACTTTGTAAAGTACTTTGAAAAAGTACAACCAGTAAGGATTTTTATTAAGCAATTCATTTATTCTTAAACTGTGCAAAGAAAAACCATTGTTTTGAGATTTGGATTACCTGAAAACTTCATGCCAGTACTCTTTAACATAAGAGACCTGATGAAAAGGAATGTCCAGCATGTGACAGACTTTATAAGCATCCTCACAGTCCCGCTCTGAGGTACAAACACCTTGTTCATCCAAGGAGTCCCAATTCCGCATAAAGACACCAGTTAGCTGGTAACCTAAAGATGAATATACATAATGTGAATTATTTAATCATAATTATTAATATAAAACTATAACGATTACGGGTTCGTGCAGAGCGCTACAATACAACATAATGTAGAAACAAATAAATTACCACTAAATAGTGGCCGGAGGGACGACTTCAATCTAGTTATTCTTATACGTAGGTTATCCTAAACCACCTCTTATTTAGAGATCAGTAACACTTGTTTAAGGAATTAATTAATTAAGCAGGTAAGATTTAATTGAAAGGAACACTGGTCCATGACGGCTGAAGGATATTTCGATTTCGGTTCCAAATTATCTCTAAATTACTTAAACACACAAACTCCACCATTTTTAACTGATCACTGTAAAACTGTTCAAAGCCATTATAAATTATAAGGCTACCTTAAAAACCCGGAAAACTTTACTAGACTGGACTTTTTGCGACCAGCGTTTGAGTCCTCTTGCGTAATAGAAAGTTTCTTCGGCTTTTTAAAGCTTTATGAATATGAAATAGTGAAATAAGTGAAATCACTCAAACACAATCATTCATTTCCCCCTTTCTTTTGTTGTAGAACTCTTATTGAAAAGTAAGTGTGAAGTAATCTATTTCACACGTAACAACGATAAACATCAAAATCAATACACACATTAAGTAATTCTTATTCTTACCTCTTCTTTTCAACAGCAGTGCTGCCACGGAGCTATCCACTCCGCCAGACATTGCACACACTACGTGTCTCACAGCGTGCATACTGTACAAAATAAATGATCAACTACAGAAAAGCCGTACGGGGTCAACTAATGAGCTAAATAAGATATACACTCCTCGGGCATGTTGTAGCAGCACTTGGAAGCCGCCATATCTCACAGTCCCACTATCAAATATGTTCCATGGGAAACAACCTCCATTAACGAAAAGTAACTTCCTTTGTTTTCCATTGCTATTGCAGGACAGTAAAGGTATTCAGTACTCCTGTATACGTGTTTATTGCCTTTTTGTAAAGAAAGTCTCAAAAGTAAACTTACTTTATTAAAAAATACTGCTTTTTCTTAGCATTAGCATTAAACGTGTTTAATATTCAAATATTTTGCTTTGTCAGGTTTTGTATTTCTGCCTTGTTGATGAATACTTAATTTAGTAAAGTACATACTTCGCAGCAAACTGATGTACAGCGCCCGTACCCGTATATTTGTTTAAAAACCGGTGTCATCTGTATTAAAGCGAGTGCTGTACAGGTTAATACAGGAACAGTTTGGATTTCGATTCGGTAAAATTCCTATTCTTACACAGCATGGAATCTGGAAAGGTCATCAGTTTGGAGATGCTGAAGGAAGCTAGAGAGACTGTGATGTCAAGTCCGTTAAGAGTCGTCAAAACTCCATTGATTCCCTTGCATCAAACGACATTACCTCTCAATGTGGAATGCAATCTTTATATCAAGATGGAAAATATGCAAAGAACCGGTTGGTTTTATTCCTTGATTGTTATTTCCTATATTTCACTTAAAAATAAATGAAAATAAATTGAAAAATAAAGATATCTATAAGAACATGTGATAGATTTAAAAAGTTGCTTGGAACTTTTAAAAATCATTTAAAAAATCATAAGTAACTTGTAATTTCTATACACAGATGAATGTGGGATCGTTTACTTTTTTCTTGTATGACCTATATACTACTATATTTTGTCAATGGACAGGTTCCTTTAAAATCAGAGGTGTGGCGAATCAGTTTGCCAGAAGACCAAAAGGAGGTCATTTTGTTACCATGTCTGCCGGGAACTATGGCAAGGCATTTGCCTATGCTTCACAACTCTATGGCTGTCGAGGAAAAGTAGTGATGCCGGAAACGGCCCCTTCATCTAGGTCCTCTGTGATTGCTGTGAGTAATTGGTATCCAATTGTGAAGGACTCAGATTAAAAAGTAATATAAAAAATAAAATGTAAATACATGTGTGACTGTCTAATGAAACGTTGAAAACTATATTTAACAAAATGCAATGTTTTTACATTAAATTTTGCATAGTGTAAAAGTTTTGACTAAAGTGGTAAAGAAGTTTGCAATTCAATATTAAGAATTACATCCATCCACCCATTTTCTAACCGCTTCATCCATTTGAAATTAAATGAAAGTGGTAATTAAGTTGCGAAAATATTCTACAAGCACAGATAATTAATCTTTTATTTCTTTTTCGATTACACTAACCATAGATTATTTCATGAACTGTTGTCTAGACGTTTTGAAGTAGTAAAAACATAAAAAGCTCACATTTGTTTAGGGAAAGAAGTTATAATGAAATTGTAAAGACAATAAGAAAGGTTAACAATCAAGAAGCTCCTCAGGAAATCTCTCAATTTCGTTTCTAGTAGCTAAATAATCCAAGGACCTCATCCAGCTGTTTCTTTAAAGAAAGCAGCATGGACCAAGTTACTCATTCTGTTCTTTTAGATACATTTTCCAACTATGAAAATAAGAGTTTTGTACTTTGGTTGTATCACATTATCAGTAAATCACTTCTTATATCTTTACCAATAATACAGAGTTTTGGAGTTGAAGTGGAACGCGTACCAACAACCTCTTTGCTAAATGCTGTGGACCGTTGTGTACGAGAAGATAATATGCTGTTTCTGCATTCTTATGATGACATAGACCTAATTGCTGGGCATGGGAGGTACAACCTAATAAAGTCAGTTACTCTTGTCTAAAAACTAGGTCAGTTGGACAAACTGTGCCTCTGCCATTTTCCTCTTCTTCTCTAAATCTTTTTGCTGTCTTTTTCTATCATTTTGCATGCATCTTATGTATTGAGTGTGCTTTTGCACAGTGTTTTGAGCTTCTTGAAAAGAACTCATGAAATTGTTTAACTATTATTTACCAAGAACCCCACTAGATGCATTCTTGGGAAAATAAAGCATTACAGTTGTTCACTCTAGATGATTTAAAATCATTACATTACATTCTTAGAATCAGAAAGAGATAAGAACTTTATATCTATTGATGTTTGCAATATTTCTAAAATGCTAAAAGGAAGGACATTTTAATATCTTTTAATGTGACTCAAACCTGCAGTCAGTCAAATAGATCCAAACTGCCCAAGTCAAAAAAGTAAAGGTAGTGCTGAATATCACTGGAGGCAAGATATTACCAATGAAAACAGCAGCAGTCCTCCATCTAATGAACATTGCTGTAAGCACGATGAAACTTACAATGAGAAAAGTTGCAGAGGCATTCCCATTATAAATTGCCCCTCTTTTATGTCATTGATGAACTGAGGAACTCAACATAAAATGGCTCTGAACTCTCTATATTGGTCTTATGTGGGAAAATTCACTTTTATATATATATATTTTTTTACACATTGCAGCTTTCTAATCCCTACCCCCAATGTACCGTATAACAGGGACCACTGTAGTTTCATCGAGAGTGCATGTTGAGCTAGGTGGCTATATTATTCAAATTTGTGCCAATATAAAGAAATGATTTTACCCCAAAATTATATATTTAGAAATCATTAAGAACTAATGGAATTTTATTCTAGATTGCAGCAATTAACAAAAACACCCAATAACTGTAATAACCGAATGTGAGTCAAATGTCAGAAGAAACTAGACTTCGTACACAGTTTTTTAGCATTTTGGTACATTGTTTTTCCAAATGTACTTTTAAAAGTGTTGGTATATTGCAAATCACCGTTTTTCACTAAAAAGTCACCTAAAACAAAACTTACCAATAAATCATACATAAGATAAAACGTTTATTACTTATGTGTGACAAAAACTGCTTCATTTAATGTACAACAGAATATCACAGTCTATGAATATAACGACCTAGAACTGTATTGCAAAAAGTTTGAACACTGTATATTCCTTGTAGTCTTGGTTTGGAAATCCTGGAAACCATCCCTAACCCAGATGTCATAGTTGTGTGCTGTGGAGGTGGAGGATTGCTTGCTGGGGTTGCTGCTGCCATTAAACTTTCCAACTGTGGCAACACAAAGATATATGGAGTGGAACCAGAAGGAGGTAAAACTGTCTTATTAACAGAACACTATTTTAGCAAGGTTAGATTTGACCTTAGTGAAATCTACAGTGTTTACTACTACAATCTGATATTTAAGTTACCATTTAGTTTTTTTTTTCTCCATACAGAGATTTCACACGTTTTACAAATTGAGCTATTGTATACATTTCAGCAACATAAAATTGTTTATAATAGTTAAATAGTTTATCTGGATTTTAAGACAAATGTTAATGTAATTAGAATTTGAAAAATATAATGCTATGTAGAACAATGGTATTCAAGAGGCCATCCAATAAGATAAGATAAGACTTAGAGCAAAGATTTTCTGCAGTGAATTTATGAATTGATGTTTTGATTATTTAACAGCCTGTACCATGTTGAAAAGCTTTATTGAGAAGAAGCCTGTATCAATGGATACAAAAAGCATTGCTGCTGGGCTCGCTCCCCCTGTCGCAGGTAAGGTTGTAACAAATTAAATGTTTCTACTTGCTGCCAGTCTCAGCATTAAAATAACATTTTTTACATTTCTGCTGGAAGGCTAAAGGATAACAGCCTCTGGATAGATATACAAAATCTGACATAAACAACTATAATTTAACAATGAATAGAATCATGAGATGTAGTCTACTGTTAAAGAAGATGTGATAAAGCCATAAAGCATGGTATTTTCATTTTATATTTTCTAGGTCAACTCACATATGAGATTTGCAGACAGCATGTAGAAGAGGTTGTGCTTGTCACAGATGAGGAAATTAAAGCTGCAGTTTCTGCTCTGTACAAGGCTGGCATTGTGGTAGAACCTTCAGGGGCAGCGGCCTTTGCAGCCATAACAGAGAAAATGATTCCAGACATCAAAGGAAAAAATGTAATTGTTGTCATAAGTGGTGGCAACATTGGAAAAGATGAATTGCAAAACTTCCCTGATTAAATAGGTTTCCTAATAGGTTTGTAAAAAATGCTATACTTTACTGGCTTCAGAGATGGGTTTATTGTACCAGTAAACCATATAAAGAAAGTTCAGGTGACATTTTATACAAGACAGAGAAGTACAAGACACTGAAAAATAAAGTAAAAGGCAAAAATATCCAGCCGCATCCTTAAAGTTCTAAGAGTTTTTAATTCACTAATTTTATAAATTCACCTGATTTAATAAAATATGCATAAAAACTCAATTTTAGCAAATTCAATTATAGTTTCATAATCATGTCACTGTTACAGTATGTGTTAATCATTAGCTTTTAGTCTTCTTACAATAACATTTTAAAACATTAAAACTTGATCAATGGTGAATCCATTTTGTTTTCCTTTCTGGCCACAGGACTCAAAGTTATTAGTGGAGAACTCAGGTCAATTAGCTGCATAAAAAAATTAAAAGGAAAAACAAAAAAATCAAATTACACATTGCATAGTAAATTCTGTTCCTGTCTTCGTGTGTAAAAACTAGGGGAGGACTGAACAAATTCATTCCTCTCATGAAATATGTACTGATATTTCCCAGCTTTAGTAAGATACAATAAAGAGCAATGTAATTGGTTGTTATTCCAAAACTGTGGTGTAACTGTTGTTAACCTAGAACATTGGATGGTAATATGATGTCTTTCTTTGCCCCAGAGCTAGATCATTCTGAAATGCTCCAAAGACACCTAGTAAAGAGTTGTACACATTTTTAGGAAGTCGGTGAATGTCAGTGCTAAAAGCCATCACAGATATTATGAGGTATGGTTTAGACTTAATGGTATGGACTATCTAAAACCAATAAAACTTAAAACAGTTTAAATCTCAAAGTACTCTTAAAAAGTTAAATTCACAATGAAAGCAAATGTTTCAGATTTGGAATACTGTGAGTTAATCTCAGTGAAGCACGCAACATTCTATCATTATATCCCCCCATCACAACAAGTGTCAAAGCACAGTAAGTTTATTATTATAAGGAAGATTCACGTAGCATGAAATCAAAACATCACTACCTGGCTGATTGCACTTGTTTGTAAACTAGAAGAGACTGTGTATCAGTTCTGTGGTATATATGCTGACTTGGAAGTTCATTTCATTATACCGCGAGTCTTACTATGAGCATATTTTCCTGTGTAACAAAAAAGTAATTACCTGTCCGTGCTCAGCTGGCTTAATTGGCACTAGTTTAATCAAGTCTAGTGTGTTGGAAAGGTCAATCAGTGGTCTGTCTTCCAACCTAACAGGAGGTGGAGCATCCACTTCAATAAGCAAAATCTGTTAAGAAAAGTAGACTCTAAAACACTGGTGCAAACAATATACAAATTAATTATGACACAAAAGGACAGTACAGAAATCCTAACTGGACCACCTAATGCACATAGCGTTCAGTACAAATAATGGCCCAAAACTGCCAAAATGGTACAGATTATTGCAATACCTATTTACTGGCTGAATCTTAAAATCCAGGCAAAGCATGCTATGCCTCCTTACTTTAAGAGCATCTTTGATTAAAATATAGTTTTAAATAAGTAAATTTACTGGAATTGAATATTCTGTATTCCATATTTGAGTTAAAAAAAGAATCTATTTTATAACTAAGAAATTATTAAATTACACTAATAGGAACAGATAAAGGTTACCTTATCAGCACTCTTAAATGTATTCTCTTTTGAAAAGTCTTCAGGTATGTCAGGACTCTGAACTGCTATGTTTGCAGATGTTTCATCACAATTCTTGACTGAAGTCTGTGCAGGTGTTTGTGGGCTCACTGCTTTAGCAGATGCATCAGGTTTAACAGGTTTTTCCGGTGAAAAATCCAGAGAGCATAGTGGTATTGGTGAAAGGTAATAAGGCTCTTTTACAGGCTCGGAGCTGGACGGAAGATTAACTTTTTGAGGTGTTTCCTTTGCTTGTAATGGACTTGAAAATAAAGTGTGAAAATAAAAAGAAAAATTAATAGTGTACGTTCCTAATAACAATAGAAAAGTGGTTTAAACACAGAAACCTGATTTAATATACCAGCAGATTAATTTTAACATAATGCGGATAATTTAAATTCAAGAAATAAATTGCAATTTTTAAGTAAAAAAAATTGCAACTTATTTGTATTATTTCTATTCTCATGGTATTGTCTACTACCAAGTGCTTAAAAATTTATAATATGCATCTTATTTCCTTGCTTTTTATTTATAAGGATTAGTTCAAATTCTGCTTTCACTTCCTAAAATGTTGGATCTTGCCTTCTATCTCTGAAAAGTTCTGAACAAACAACCTGTTAGTTCAATAAAGGATTAATTAAGTGCTCATCAGGAATGAAAACCAGTAGGTAGTGGGTCCCCAGCACTTGGGTTGGAAACTTCTGCTCTAGATCCGTTAATACTTGTGGTGACGGAATCGGCATAACAAACAAGCCTGAGCCAAGTCATTGTCTACATTCTCCACTATATGGCTAGTAAGTACATTAACTGAACACATCTGTAGCTGTTCAGTTTAAAAATGCTTTAGATCTCTTCTGGTATTTCCAGATTAAAAAAACACCAATTGCTTACCTTCTGAAATTATCCTTCTTGGTAGACAGAGGTGCTTCTAATTTTTCACATGTAAGACTGAACACTGAACGTCTTGTTGCACTTTTGGGGGTCGGTGCTGGGATTCCAGACACCCGTCTTTTTACCGGAGTTGGCAAAGCAGAAGAGCGCCTCAGTTTTGACATTGCCAAAACAGATTTTGCAGGTAGATTAAGAATTTGAAAAGAATCTGCTGAAATATTTGTAGCCACGTTTTGCTGACCATCACTGGAAGGCAAAAAATTGAATATTTATTGCAAATTATTGCAAGACATAATATGTCTTGCTGTTCCTAAGTCTAATTATGGAAACTATTCAAATGATTGGCAGAATCATTTAACAATGTCTTTATGTATATTATCGTATTTAAATGTACATGCAATCCGTTAAAAAAAACATTTAATTAGCTACTGACCTTTCATTATTACCACATGACATCAGTCTTTTTGGCTTCATAATTCTTGATGCATTTTCAGGAGAAGAAACTAATTTGAAAAGACAAAAAAAGGAGTGTAAACGATTCCAACTCAATTCAATTAAGGTCAAATTTAAATGGTACAAAAAGTATACATACTTTGTATTCCCTCTTTTTGATGAATGTGATTTCACTTTTTATAAATACCATCTATCAAAGGTATAGTTTTAACAATTTTGTAAAACATTTGTGGAAGTGAATTTGTGTATATGCAATAAGGCAATAAAGCAATGCTTTTATACTGACAATTTAAGGATCTATTAAATACTGAAAGTGCCCCATTTGTCTTAATGTACGGTGGAAGTGACAGGTACATTGGAGAATAAGTGTTATTGGTCTTGCTGCACGAAACTGCACCAATATATTTAAGCAGGTAAAAATGACGTAAAATAAATTCAGTAGACACAAACATATCCACATTTCAGAATAAATGTTTTGTTGGGATGTTAATAGGCTCTTACCCCCTGAAGGATGAGGTCCTTTGATGTACCCTGTTGGTGTAGGTGCTATAAATTCTTTAAGTTTTGGACTTCTTTTTACTCCACTTTCAGTTTTGTTTTGTGTTGATGAATGAAGCATACTTGGAAGTGAACTTAACCGGTCTGCATTTGTTTTTGCAGGAGTTTGATGAGGATTTGTAGAATGTTGTTTTTTCAGTGGAGTTGAAAGCTTATTTAGGCTTGTGGATTTTACAAGTTTTGAAGGAAGGACCACAGATTTTTTAAGTTGGGATGACATGGATAATTTTCCACCAGCCAAAGGTGGTTGTTGTCCATTTACATTAGAAGATATCCGAGTCTTTGTTTTATTCATCAGATTTACTGATGCATTAGGTTTACCTGCAGACAAATTATAAGAAAAACAATGGACTAAAAGTAAATTTTCATCATAATACATCATTTTATATCAATTTTAACAATGACAAATGAAGAAAATACAAAATACATTACACTTATTTTACAACTAAAATAAAATACTTTACTACTTCAAATAAAAAAATCAAAATTCAACAACTACGTGCAATTCCAGCTATTCCAGGTTTAACTGATAATGTATTTAATTTGTAAACATGTATTACAAAAAGGTGCTTTAACTTGAAGTTGCAGGACACACATAGTTCCTTGTATTTTAGTGTATTTAAGCATACAAATGTGTAAATCAAGATATTGTCCTACCATTTCCAAGAGGGGATATGGAAAGGCTAGAGTTAAGGCTTGACACTGAAGAAGAGGAAGAGGAAGATGTTTTATTTCTTTTTTCACCACCAGTACTTCTATTCTGTACTTCTGGTGGTTTAATTGCCTGTGGTTTAACCAATCCCACCTAGAGAAAAGCAGAAAAGAAAAATGCAATCCAGCTAACAATTTTCTCTAAAGGCATCAACACCAGAAAGCAAATGACAATGACAAATTTGGGCACATTTAAACAAGCTGATCAATTCATACACCATTCACTGTAATGAGCAGCATAGGAGAAAATGTAAGGAAAATCTGACCTCCTTAAGCCTAAGAACACAAGAATTCTTAAAAGAACAGGCCCATTTGTCAAACAGTATCTAACTAATCCAAATATATTTTCTTTGAAAGAAACCCAGATACCAGCTTTAATAACATGACTGAATAGCTTACGCCATACTTCCACAACCCTTTGCATAAATAAATGCCTTCTTCCTTTGTTAGAAATGCATTTCAATAGTCTCAATTTGTGCCCTTTGCACAATGGTAACTCTTGATCTGAAATGTTCTAAGACATTTAGTTTATTATAAGCTTTAAATTATCCATTAACCCAGATGTTTCCAGCTATGTTTTGGTTCCTAATTATGGTGGAGGCTTTCTTTTAACTTTTTGCACAACTAATTTATGATCTCCGATTTCTGGAAATATAATCTGAAATGTTCCAATTATTCTTAGTTCAATTAAGGATTCAATTAAGTAAAGAGCTTAACTGAAACTGAACGTCTTGAAAATTAGCAGGTTTGTGGCTCCCCAGAACCAGGGTGGGAACACTAACCTTCTCAATATTTTTAAAGGTGATAAACAAATCAGGGTCTAAAGCAAAGTACCCTTTCTCTTTTTACCTGTTTTTAATTATTTATATACTTCTTGCCAGCATATCAACGCTTTATTTGACCTGTTATATGAATTATATGCAAAAACGTTATATATGCCATACTCTGCACTCAGAAACACACAGAATTCCCACAAATATGAATAAGATGATTTTCATTATCAACAAAAGAGTGGAGGTGGTGTCATCATAACAATAAAACGATAAAACAAGTCCAGTTATTTAACAATACTTTTTATAATTAAACCAACTAAGTCTTTAACTACATAATGTTTTGATATTTTACTGTTTTAGATGTTTTAGTCATTGGTCATTTTTACATACAAGTACCTTTTTGGGCACTGGAACGTTCTTCTTTTCCAAAATACTGGATTTTAAGGATGTTTCACTCACATTTGAAGCAGTAGTAATGTTGTTGGAATGGAGATCCTCAGAAGAGTCTGCACCACTGTAACAACCTCTTGTTGGACTGTGTTTCAGAACAGCTTTCTGCAGAAGTGAACAACAACAACACAGGTAATAACTAGCATACATTTCTTGCACACCCTTTGAAAAAAAATGACATCAATTGTATAACCATTACCATTTACAGGATCACATACTACGTGCTTTAAGCCAAAAGCTCAGCAACTGATGGCCCTCCACCAATTAATACAAAAGCACCATCATTCCATTGTCTTATCACATTGAAAGACATGTTTCATTTGACCACTAAAGAGTTTGATTTTATCTATTTAAGATCTTAAAATGAGAAAAACACAAACCTTCTCTACAGCCAAGTGTCCTCTTATATTTTGTCCACTCACTGCTGGAGCTAGTGGTCTGCTGGGAAGCACTCGACTGGTGTGGCCATTGGATAATGCAGCCTTACGTCCTAGATTTTGTTTCTGTCCTTGGTTTTTACATAGCCTGGCTGGACTATGCCCACTGGAAGTCTTTTGTGAAGGACTTTTAGCAGAGTTTGACCCCAAGAGACGTCGCTGAACCACTGGAGGAAGCTGCTGTAAAGGGCTGTCCTGAACACAAAATGTTTCTCTCTTGATTGGACTTAAAGCAGCGTTCTTTGGTGTATTAAATATGTTTATTTTAGATTTAGAATCTTCAACAAACTTTTCAACCACTTCATTTTTACCACCGTTGAGTTCTTTTTTGTGTGTGCTATCAATGCTTTTTTCAAATTGCCTGGCCAGTAAATGGGCTTCTTTAAAAATCTCAACAAACTTATCCCCAGTTAATGGACTCCAATTTGCACACTCATCACTCTGTTCCATTTGACAATTTTCTTTTTCTTTCACTTGGACCTTAATTCCAGCTGCAACACATTTCTCTTTGTGACAGACTGGACCCACAAATACTTCGTCGTCGTTCTCGTCATCGCCATTTCCACTGTACAGGGGAAAAAAGTCACAGTATGTTAACAGTCATATTTTCATTTTTAACTGTTTCAGTCATGCATAAACATTACAATTATACTACACCAATACTGTACCTTGCAGGTGACAATGAAATGTCGAAGTCAAACCTCTCATCAGTAAGGAGCACAAAATCTAGAAAAAAAGAGTTATTCATTTTCAGCATTAATAAAGGTTAGAGAAACATATTGTTAGATTAATATGGCAGTGAACAGATTCACATGCACCCATCATTAAAGCAGTCAACATTATCTTTTACAGGGGATCAAAATTCCAAAACAGGAGAGCTGCTGTAAATTTGTTGTACAAGTCAGAATTTTCTAAAGTAGATTTAAGATCTTTCGGCCACCTCCTAGAGAGCTGCAATCCCGCATGTTTTTAGGCAGCAATTAAATTATAATTTTATATGGAGTATGGAACAACTGCAGGCAATTGGTTAAAAAGATTAACAAAATTGAAAGTCTGAAAGTTGAATTAAGGCCCATAAGTACTGGAGTCTTCCCTACAGCTGTTTCCATTTGAAGAAATTACAAGGTACAGCCTAAGAATTAGCGCTATGCTGTTTTTAGATCATTCTTACAATTTATCATCCAAGTCAATTTGCATAACAAAAAATTACCATTGTTGATCAGAGAATCCATTTTCAGAAAGTATTGCCTTAAGTAAAAGAGAAATCCAGCTGCAAGATAAAATTAAGAGCTAGTTTATAACTTAACTTTAACACACATATAAGTAAATACAAACATGTACAGTAAATGTATACTAACGCTAATATGATCGCAACAAATACATTGTTATTTTTAGAATGACACAATATTCCACTTGACTAGGATTCTAAGACAACATGATGAATTAGAACCATAGTATGGTAATATACAGTATATTTCAATACTAGAGTAATAAAACAAAATATCCTATAATTTACATAAAGATACTTAAAAAAAAGCTTAGACTCACCGAAACTAAGAGATTCGCCAGCGTAGTACAGGCCGCCTGCCTCAGATATAGTCTGGGCAAAAATGCGCAAAAACAGACAAAATGCTTTTGTAAACCTCTTTTGATATATTATACAAAGCGTTAAGCGACGTACATTAGCTGCCTAAATAAAACATTAAACAATTTAAATTTGTATCCTTTATGTAGGCGTAAAACTGAGTTACTTCTGTAACTCACGGTAGTTACAGAAGTAAACTACACGGAACAAAACACTTAAATTTTATAGAAGATCATAAATTATATAATCAAGGTTTTTTTATATACAACGGTGATTATAATACTGACGAAGCATATATAACTACATAACAATTGAGCCTCTTCAACCGGAATACTACCAAAACAAAAATTCAAATACTGATACCTACGTTTAAACGGTCATGTGTCTAAAAATGCCACTCTGCATTGGTGAGTAGAATCTCGCGGAAAGCCAAGTTTCTCGTTCAGGATGGAGGGTTACAGAGAGTTCTGGGAATTGTAGTTTTGTAGAGACGAATCACTAGTTTAGGCGAGCTTTTTATTGTTTTAACGATAACTATTAATGAATCAACTATAATAATTGTGTTTTCGAGAAATATATAACCATACAGGTTTTCAAAAATATTCGCATTCTCAAAAATATTCGCAAATCATTTTTACACACAGTAATAGAAGGAATTACGGTATGTAGCTTTAGTGAATGCAGAATGCTTCTTGCTTAAACATAATGAGTACAGTACTGCCCAAACTATGCTAAATTATTCCTGTTCAGTTAAAAGTATGAATTTTAGTGTTTTATTGTCGAGGGACAGAACGAAGCATATATATAGTATTCTGTATATATCTGTATTCCAAACTACTGGCTGTTTTATTTTTTCCACTTGTGGGAGACTTGTCTGGGCATTATTAATTTCTCAGAACAGAAAAGAACATCATCATGCTCTCTACATCGCTTGAAACTTTATGCAAAACCCAGTCGAGAGCTGCTTTCACTAGCCCTGCCTTCTTGGGTGCCATCTTCACACAAAAACGTAATTTAATAATCTCTGCGATGGTCTCAATTTTGAAAATAAATGGCATACTTGAAGTCTTCTGACATAATTCTATATTCGAAGAAAACCTTGCACAGGCTATTGTTCAGGTCTGATATTTCCACTTGTGAAGGTCGAAATAGAACTCTATTCGAAGGTATTTTTTTATAATTCTTAGTTTTGTTGCGTTACTGTTGCAGGGTGTTTTTGCTATTAGCAATAGTGTATGGGTAGAGAATACCGCCACAGACCATCTAATGTATGCATATATTTTGTAATAAGAAAATCAGCTTTTCGCAAACAGTACTCAATGTTTTCTCTGTTCACATGTTCCTGCACTCTTCTTTATTAAAATAAGGGTGTCTGAAAAGAATTATGGATGATTATTTGAAAAGGATCTTTTACTTATGTGGAGTTAACCGAAATAAACTATAGTTATGAACAGTAGAAATTATATAAGTTCATGGCGTTTATTTTTTTAATCCAAAAACTGGATTTGCTCTTAAATTAAACTGGGCCATAAAATACAGTACAATGACTTGTGTTCAAGAGATACAGTATATATTTGTCTTACCATTATTCTGAACAGAACACCAGTCCATCGCAGGGCGCACAAACAAGAAATGTAACACAGAATCTTAGTAAAACAAATTGTATTATTTATTTTGAATTACTCACTCCCGTGTGTAAACCCTCTCCATTTCTAGAAAGGTATCGGGAACAGAGAACAGTATTACAAGGTTTATATACTGTACACTTCAGGTTTTTTTAATGAATAAACAGCTCCAGTCTTGCTTTAAATCCCATACAGGAAATTGTGCTTGGCAGTTCTCACAATCCAGGGTGGTCTGTTACACAACATCTTTTACAGCCATCCTGCAAACAACAGCATCCAGCAGTGTTCCAATCTTTTCCTCCTGAGAGGTGAGTTTGTATATCTGAAAGAAAATACACCGCTCATCAGCCATAACTTTACCAATTTAAAATGATACTACAATAGAGCTAAATTAGCTAGACTATGCACCTCACTGTAATATAAAACAGTACCATGGGTTGGGCATTTTTTACCTGCAAGAAATTAATTAATGGTAATTGATCGTTACGGAATCCTTACTAGATCCCAGTTCAGTTACCCCCTGAAATGTTGATTCATTCTTTATTAATATTTGATTTACAAAATGTACTTGAAATTATTCTGCACTGAACACATCACTATATAGTGTGAAAAAATATTCATACAGACATGTAATTTAAATGCTATTGAAAATAAACAGAACGACAGAAGTGTAAAAATCTTAAAAAATGAACTCTAGACTATGCTGTACATCCATAGTACTGAAATATGAGTTAAACATGCTATAACAATGTACGAAACATACTAGACAAATGTAACCAAGAATTATTATTATCTTCGATTAGTGATTACCATCACTTGAAAATTTTGTCTCGGGAGACTGCTGAAAAAACAGTTTAGTGTTTTTAACTGGGAAATATATTTAGCCTATGGTAATAATAAAAGGAATTCTGTGCAGTTAAAAAATAAACACTGAAAACTTTGAGCACTAAGGTTTGTGCAAATACAAGTAGGATTACAGGCAGTAAATTTCCAAGGAGAACAATACAAACCGAGGGCACTAGCATAATCGGTATCCACTAGAGAAGGATACAAAGATCTTCACCTCTGTATTATCACAGGCCAGTTAAAACAGGCGCCACTAAGTCTGACCATGAAAAGCTCCAATAGTATATCATTAACATGCCAATTATTAAAGACATGGAACAACTGTGTTCATCCAGCTATCCGTTTTCTAATCCCTTCATCCAATTAGAGGTCATGGGGGAGCCAAAGCCTAACTCGGCAAGCGATGGGTGCAAGGCGGGGTACTGGATGTACGCCAGTCTTTCGCATGGCACACACAGACGTGCATACTCACACTAGGGCAAATTTTCCCAGAAGCCAATTAACCTACCAGTATAACTTTGGATTTTGGAAGTGAGAACATACACACTTCACGCAGATAGCACCCCAAGTCTGGAACTAGCCCCAGCGTCCTGCCCACAATTGTATAAAACTGCAGGCAATTTGCTAAATTATTTATAGATCATTAGGAACAAAAATCTTCAGCAATGAATGATCTGAGTTAATTGATAATTGATCAAAAATTAAATTAAGTGTGCGTAAGCATCTAAAATGAGTTAGGGTCACCTATAAATATAATGTATTCGGAGTTTGCAGACAGGATTGGAGGCTTCTGGGTTTGAACATTAGGAAAGTTAAACATTAGAATTGACCATTCTGCCCATCTTCTTCATTTGGTTAGCTGTAGCTTTCTTACCCAAATAACTTGTCCAGATGATTCTAGAAGACCCTGGGAATCTGCTAATAAAGCATTCTCAGCACTTTTACAGTTTATTGACAGACCTTTTTAATTTTATTGACGTCACTCAAGGATGGGATTTCATCAAGGGGTATCTGCTGGCCTTCCACCTTTGACACAGTTTCCTCGAGGGTGTTTCTCCCATCTTTTTCATGCACCAGTACAATCAGAACTGCGGTGTCATTCTCAGAAATGCCAAATTTTTTAAAAGCATCAGAAATCTAGAAATAAAAATAAGATCTTAAATAATTTAATGCAAAAAAAGCATATTCACATGTGATTTAGAAATATAATTTGCCAGTGTATGTGTTTGCAAATTACTGCAGACTGCCACGGTCAATAACAGCACTTATTAACATTTGGCCATCAAGTCCTGTTATTTTCTTTAATTTCAATACACACTATATGCTGTATACTTTTCTATCCACACATCAAATAAAGCAAAAATAATCTCACTGCTGTATTCTTCATACAAACTCCACCTTAAGCCATTGCGGTTATACTGTAGGTCTTGAACTCTTTTTCCTGTGCTTGAAAGTTTAGATTTCAGTTTCGAAAGAACATTTCTTCCATATCTGTGTGTGCTGCCTTTTTCAATAACTGTATATAAATGAAACTCACATTATTTGTAGGTGAAATATTAAATATAATTTCAGAATAAAGTGTTCTGGTCTTCATTTTGCCAGTCTTTTGCAAGTGAACAGCCTTGTTGGTAGCTACTAGTACTTGGAAAGGGTCGATTACCTGCAACAAAAAAGAACAAACAACAAATGTTTCACATCTGAAGTTGTAATATGAGTATCTTAAAACGTATCAACACCGTAAAAGTATATCAGATGGATACAACTTTTAAAAATATTCCAATAAATACACACAAAATGTTTAATGGTATTTGTAAGACTGTATGAAATAGTACATCATTCTGCTATAATGATGTTACAAAGTTTAAATTAGTTATGCAATGTATTTCCAATCTGAGAAATAAAGATACAAGTACAATCAAGGTCTCAATGATATTAAAGACCCAATCTGGAATTGAATAATTCTTATAGAATTATAGAGACCATCTATAAGAAGGGACAGAGCCGACTTTACTTCTTGAGGAGGCTCAGGTCCTTCAATGTATGTAGTAAGATGCTACATATGTTCTATCAGTTGGTTGTTGCGAGCGCCATTTTCTACGCAGTGGTGTGCTGGGGCCCTGGGATTAGAGCAGTGGATTCTAAAAGGCTGAGCAAGCTCATCAGGAGAGCAAGCTCTGTCATTGGGTCTGCCCTGGACCCCTTGGAGGTAGTGGCTGAGAGGAGAAACGTGTCCAAACTAGAGGCCATCATGGACAACATCTCCAATCCCCTCTATGACAGGCTTGTAGAAATGAAGAGCACGTTCAACAACAGACTGATTCATCCACGGTGCGACAGAGAGCGCTACAGGAGGTCATTCTTGCCTTCTGCCATAAGACTGTACAACACATCCACCTTGCGTCTGGACAAAGGCAACATTGACAGTGACCTGTTTCTGGACTGAACACATCTACACATCTACTGCTACATCTGTTCTCTTTCTTTTCCTGTTTAAAACCGTTTTTTGTGCAATATATGCCAGGGACCCGTGCAATGCATTTATGTATAAGCAATACATTTATATCTATATCTATATTCATATGTGTGATACAATTTTTCTGCGTACTGTTCTGTTCTAGTTTGTTCTGTGTGTCAGGACTGTGAGTAACTCTTTTACTGCTACCCCTCACTGTACTGATTGTATTCTATGTATTGTACTATTATTATTATTATTGTATCATTCGTTACACTGTGGCTGTGTTGTCTGTGTAAAGCTGCTGTTGCACTGCAATTTCCCTCACGGGATCAATAAAGTCTCTAATTAAAAATACATGCATGGCAGGTAATATGTAACATCTGAACTACCCCTCGTCCTTCTGGTTTTGGTTCCATTTTAAATGTTGGCTAAATAATTCAACACCAACCTCAAGAGTTGTATCCCTTTTAAGAGCTTAATGCAAATGAAAATGACTAAATAAGTCAACTAGGTTTCTTCAGTTTAAATTTCAGCTCAAGGTAAACCCAGAGGAAACAGAGGTCCTTTAGAATCTCAAGTTTTTTCAAGGCTTGAAACTACCAACATACGATCGTGATTATTCGCTTAGGAAACCTCTGAAGAACCTGCATGGGAGGAAAAGAGTTATACAGAATTTATTCTGAAATGTGAAGCACTAACATTACACCCAGCGTCCATTCAACCCGTTGTGTTACTTTTCAAAAATTAATTCTGCACTTGGGTGAATACGAATGCAATCAACAAACTGTATTTGTTTTTGCAGACATCTGACATTTTTCTGCCATAAAATGCAAAACATACTTATGAGTGCCTGCATAATTTAAAACATGACCTTCTCTCCACTAAATAGTTGCCAGAATTCCAGGCCAATTTTCCTAGCGGATTCAGTGAAATAAATATGGATCTAACCAACGTAAAGAAATAATGGAGCTTTTACTAGTGAAATTCTGGGAACACTAAAACAAATTGCGAATAAAATGCACATTAATACATACCATTCTCGGGTTTATTAACGCGCCATCAATATCACCTTCCATCGCTTTTTTTCTTAGTTCTGCAGCATTTCTAACATCTTTAAACAACACCTGTGTCACGACACATTCTGGAAACAGCTCTAACTGCTGAGTTAAATACATTTCTTCACATTACTACAGCAATACCTAATGTTTTACTTAGACACAGTCCAAGTTAGACCGTATCTCAGCAGTGCTGTCGGTAGACTCCCGAAATCCCGAGTTCATAAATAGTATGTTTTATTTTATTAAGGCTTATTCCAAAGGTACTTTAACCAACTGGCAAGAGCACTCTAAAAACATAAACCAATGACGTGATATTGTAGCGTAAAAAAACACGTGATTCATATAAATATTTAATGAGTACTTTTTAAGGTTTAGACATTTTATTGCTCTCAAAACAAGCCCCAGCTTCCTACTTTAACAACACGCTGAATGCTTCAGTAAGTGCCCGCACAGTCTCACAGGTCCGATCAGAACAACATCCCCTGAAAACTAGAATACTGTACATGATATTTATTGGTTTATATCAATCTAAAATGTATTATAACTTAGTTTTTTAGCATATTATTTTTTTTTAAATCACTAATCGCAAAACTGATGTTTTATTATGCTATGTTTAAAGATGCACCATTATTATTCAAGGAGATATTAAGCACCCATGTTCCCTGACGGAATACTTAAATCGCGGACCTATTTTTTAAAAACCATTTTAAAAAACCCAACGTTGTGGAGTATGTTGCTTAATGCATTGAGATAACAATAGTGGTGTTTTTAGCACGCTTTAAATGTTTATTTGAATATATACGTGTTTAGATCAAGCTTTGTTTGAGTATAGGGTTTAAAAAAATAAGTGAACAATAATGGAGAGGTTTGAAATGTACATTTTTTCCACTCTGTGCAGTGTTTATTTTCTTGTTTCTTGTATTCTATTCTCAAAAATTACCCGAGAGCAAAGAGAACCTTACATGGATGAGATTTTTCACGTACCGCAAGCACAAAAGTATTGCGAAGGAAGATTCAACGAGGTAGGTTATGTATTCCTACGTTGTTAGACTGCATATATTGCAATCTAAAAAAAAAACTAAACAGTTATGCATTGCTAACCTCGATTAGGGTTAGATCCAAGATAATGCTTATTTGTCCTGAGCTACTGTTAGGAAATGTTCGCTGAGTGAAATGATGTATTTTTCCTAGCTCATGGGTGTTAGTCATAACTATTTCATTTCAAAGATGTTATTTTAGTATTTGTATTGTTGTTTGGTTGATGCCTCTCTCCAAAGCGTCTTCATTGGGATATATCGATATGCATTTGACTGGAGGAATCTTAGTTGCCTTTACTCAAATTTAAAACACCAGTGCCCTACTCCAGCTTAACCCCACATCCATACAACTAGGAAACAAAAGCCCTAAACTGTTCTCCACACTGCTGCTCAGCTTTTTGAAAGAGTGTAGCAGAAAACGTTAATGTTTCACAAGAACGTTATTCCCGTATACAAAATGTATTTAATTTAACGGAGCCCTTTTTATTTTCTTTTGTTTTCTTTGTTAATTGATTTCACCAAAGGTTCAAAATTAAATAATGAAAAAAAAGTCATCTACCGCTAAAAAAAAGGTGAAGTTGTCTGTGGCTTGTATCTTATAAACCGCTTACTATACAACAATACCTTTGTTTCTCTAAAGTGGGATCCTATGATTACAACACTTCCTGGATTGTACCTGATCTCTGTTGGAATTATTAAACCATCAGTATGGCTGGCTGGATGGACTGGAGAGGTCGTGTGCTCCACGGCTATGCTGCGCTTTATAAATTTGCTGTTCAGTAGTGGAAACCTATACCTGATTTATCTTATTACATGTGAACTACACCGAAAAGATAAGGTATAGTAATTATTTTTATTCAATAACTAATGCAAAGAGTTTTTGGAAACATAATTTGAGATTATACTATATTGTGTTTAAATAAAGCTGTGCAAATTATTAATGGAAAGTAAAGTCTTCAAACTTGCATGAAATTAAAAAAAATAAAATTTTAAGACAACTGCAGAAAGTAATAATGGGTAGAGAGTGCAATACATTTGTACTAGACAACCATATAACATATTAACATTTTTTTTGTGTCAATCAATGGCAAAACCCCCCAACACAAAATGTGAAAAAGTCTGGGGGGGGGGATTTGATTGAAAGCAAATGCCAAGGAATCACCCATTACAGTTCTTGTTCTAGGTCCGTTATACAAAGCATTGACAGTTAACCGATATTTTTACCATCTTTTCCAGGCTGCATCTGCTTTTCGGAGACTTTTGTCATCTCTGGCCCTCTCGTCTTTTCCAGTGTTGTATTTCTTCACGTTCCTCTACTACACAGATGCTGGGTCCACATTTTTCATCCTCTTTGCTTACTTGATGTGTCTATATGGAAGTCACGAATTATCAGCACTTCTTGGCTTTTGTGCCATTATGTTTCGCCAAACCAATGTCATTTGGGTGGCATTTTGTGCGGGCACAGTGCTAGCCCAGAAAATGGAAGAGGCGTGGAAGACTGACCAGACAAAGAAAAAGGACGAAAAGTCCCCCAGCCCAATACCGGGTTCCCTTGCTGGGGCCAGAAAAATTATACGTTTTTTGTTGGAATTCCTATTGACTCCAAAAAATGTAACAGTTGTGATCAGATTGACATGGCCGTATGCCACTGTAGCAGTGGGCTTTCTTGTTTTCATTATTTTAAATAGAGGGATAGTGGTAGGAGACAGAAGTAGCCATGAAGCCTGTCTGAACTTCCCACAGTTATTTTACTTTTTCTCATTTGCTTTGGTCTTCTCAGTTTTTGACACACTTTCCTGTCAAAAGATTGTAAATTTCTTTCGTTTTCTGAAAAAGTACCCTTTGTTGTTTCTCTTCCTGACTGCCCTCTCCTTATTCATGGTCTGGAAGTTTACTTTTGTTCACAAGTATTTACTTGCAGACAACCGACATTATCCCTTTTATATATGGAAGAAGATCTTCCAGAGGCATGAACTGGTGCCCTTTTTGTTGGTTCCAGGCTATGTTTTTGCAGTGTGGATTTTGTTTGAAGCACTGAAATCCAAATCTCTTTTCTGGAACCTCATGTTTTTTGCATGTCTATCTGCAGCATCAGTTCCCCAAAAATTGTTGGAATTTCGATACTTTATACTGCCCTATTTAATCTACAGACTTAACATACCAGTGCCATCCATCTTCAGGTTAATTTTAGAGATAGGTTTTTACACAACTGTGAATACAGTGACCATTTACATTTTTTTGAATAAAACCTTCAACTGGCCTGATAGTACAGACTTGCAGAGGTTTATGTGGTAACTGTTTTATGTCAGAAGGATATTGAAGAGGTTAGATTTAGATATTGTATTAATTTAGATATTCCCTTTAAGAAATGCAAGAGTGACCAAGTAATTTGTTATATGTTGCACAAAATAAATTATTTTTAATAATTGACATCTGTGAAACCAACCAAAAGATGATTTTTTTAAATAATTCCTAAAATGTTTCAGGTGGAGAAACACTTAAGCAGATCCCTTATTTATTAATGCAGTACAAAAGGGACACATTATTTAGCAATAACTTGTAACAGGACTCCAGTACTTGGATTGTGCACTGAAGGTACTGAACTTGACATTGTCAGTTTTTACTGTGGAGTAACAGTATTTGATCAATGACTGGTTCTTTCCTTTTGACTTTGCTATACTGTGATATTCTGTCTTTATTATGTAATTGTTTTCTTTTTGTTTTCTATTTTCTCCATTGTCATGTTTTAAGTATAATGGACATTTTCATTTGCATTATATGATAGACAATGATGAATATACAGTAGTTTTATTTAGTTGATGCTTAAATCTTGTTGATGCTGGCTAAAGGTTTGGGGATACTGTATTAAAGCATGTCACACCCTGTTCAGTGCGATCAGAAGCCGTCATCTCAAAAACTATTTTTTTGTTTGAAACGACTGTTCTTTATGGGAGAACATTAGTGCAATTAAAGAAGGGAATACAGAAACTGATCCATGATCAAGTAGAAATTGTTTCAGTTTGAAACCACTTTGCATCACCTTAAATAACAAATAATGGAATTTATGCAATGCTGTTTTTGGATAATAGGTTGCATTATTTCATTTTATCTTAGAAAGTAAACTAACATTCAGTTTAAAAAGTTAAATCTGCAAAATTATAATTATTATAATTGCTCAGACCCCTCGTGTATAGGTCAGCTTTACAAACTTTATAAAACCCATGCTGTGTTTGAGAGCTGACATTTGAATACCCATTAATCTTAAATATTGTATTCAGAATACTTATGAATGTTATCTGTTACCTAAATCTGAGGAGTATTACAATTTTTCCGTGCTCATTTGATAGAAACCTAACTTTTGTTACAGTGTTTGTTGTTTTTGTTTCATTGCCAATATTAAAACACCTTTTGACAGAGTTTTCCCAAGGAACAAGGATGCAGATTGAGATCCACCCATGCAAATCATATGTTGTGATTTGTCTTATATTTCTGAATGATTAGAATAAGTTCATGAAAAATGTATTTGTAAACCATTCGCAAATATCAAGTAATAAGCACAATGAATATCTGCCTATAGAGGGTTAAGCAAGTTATAAAATCCAGGCCATTTCTTAAATTTAATGGTTTACAGGCACACTAATTTGATTTATAGATAACTATTGTGGCTTTATGCGGGGGCGTGATCAGTGTGGAGGTGGGGCCCTGGATGAAGGGCGACACATTGCCTTAGTAGCCACAGCTGTTCTGGCTGTTAGAGGATGAGCCACAACTGTGAAGTTTTATAATATTTTATACCAGAGATCTAGATTCTAACTTAGTAAAATAGTCATGCTCTTTCTTTTGAGCCTTAACTGCCTGGATCAATTAGCTACTATCAAATGAGCTAGAAGGACTGCATGGACTCTTGTGTACTTTTATTCTTATATTTGCTTTCAGATGGTGTGGATGTGAAACGTAATGCAAAGGGTGTTTAGTACTGGGTCATCTTTTATTCATTTGACCATACATTACTCAATACATTCTTAATTTTACTGTGTAAATTTAGTAAACCTGACTGTGTGTGAGCAGGCTATTGCCATCAAAAACTATACTATACTGTATAAAGGTACCGTTCTTCGAATGAGACGTAAAACTGAGGTTCTGGCTCTCTGTGTTCATTAGAAAGCCCAGGGTGTTTCTTGAAAACAGTAGGGGTGTAACCCCGGTGTCCTGGCCAAATTTCCCTTTAAGCTTTACCAATCATGGCCTCATCCACATCTATGAATTGGGTTTCATAATTTTTTTCTCCTCTCAACTGATGGCTGATGTGTGGTGAGCGTATTGGTGAACTATGGCTGCTGTCACATAATCTAGGTAGGTGTTGCACATTGGTGGTGGTTGGGAGTCCCCATTATGTGTAGAGTGCTTTGAGTAGAGTGTCTAGAAAAGGTCTGTCTGGCTGACAGGGTCTTGGGTGGAAGAAGAGCTGAAATCTTTAACCAGCTTTCAAATTGGTGGTACAAGTACCCAGCATCTGCATCTGAACATGGCATTGTTTTTGTATGGTTACGAAGACTCCCGGTTCTACATCCGGGGTGTGGACAATGACAAGCTGGAGATGAATTTACAGGTTTACTGATAATTTTACTGCCCGTTTCATTACAGTGGGGGCATGCTAGCAACGAGAGGTAGAGAGAGAAAGTGCAAGCAGCACATAGAGGAAGCATCATTCATATTATTTATTTTAATCACTAACTATAAGCTTGTAATTACTGTTTATTTTAGTTGATCAATGTTGTTTAAATTAACTTAAAGCCAATGCAATAGTACATTACTTACCATATAAGGGAGGCTTACATATGTCTTTTGACCATACATACGTCAGTAAATACTGTAGTAAATTACACAATGGTACAGGGGTGTACTTTTGGCTATTTGTGAGAGTTCTCTGCACAAAACTCTTGCGAATGTTGAGGTCCTGTTGTATAAGTCTTTATGTGCAAGTTTATAGAAATTACTTTTGGATAAGAAGTGTTACTAAGAATCAACTCTTCGGCCTTCAAACTCAACATTATGACCCATACTGTTCCTGTCTTCTTGCACCACCTACTGGACCTGTACACCACCCATATTGTACACCACCTGTCCTTTGGATGAGATGTAAAAACGAGTTCTGACCCTCAGCTTCCTGGCCAAATTTCCCAGTAGTCTTTACCATGACCTCTTAATAATCTCCATCTCTGATCTGACTTCATCACTTTGTTCTCCTCCCCACTGATAGCTGGTGTGTGGTGAGCATACTCGTGAATTTTGTTGCCATCACATCAACCAGGAGGGGCTACACATTGGTGGTGGTGGTGGAGGTGGGTTCCCATTACCTGTAAAGAGCTTTGAGTTATAATAATAATAAGGAATTATTATTATTGTTGTTGTTTTTACTGTAGGTATAACTTCCTTCCACTGTATGGATGGCTCTTTGCTTCTGCTGGATTCTGCCTTAAATGTTAAATGTATATTTTTTTGTTTTGTTTTTAATGAACCCTGTGGTTAAATCTTTAGAAGTTAAATTGGAATTCAGTTCAAATTGGAGTTTTCTGTTGTTTGGTTTAAGACGGGCATATATTTATTGAGATTTATTCTAAACATCAAAAGGAATAAAAGAAATAGGTCTGTCTAAAAATGTTGTTCATTTATATGTAATGATATATTTTCCATATTTTTAAGAAGCATTAAAGAGTCTTCCCATCTAAATGTATAATTGTATAATATATAATGTACCTGTAAAGCGTTTTGAGTGGAGTGTCCAGAAAAGCACTATCTAAGTGTAAGGAATATTATTTATTTTTAAAATTACTAAGAAGGAATGAGCTTTCTTCACTAGAGCCCTTGTAATGCCAATCTTCCACTGGGGGGCACTACAGTACTGTATTTTCAAATAAAAATGTAGAAGCAAAAATATTCTTCCATTTTTTGAAAAATCAGACTTAAGGCTTTGAACAAAAGATGATTTTTTTCTGAACTGTCCAACCAGAACTCAATGCTGATTAAAGGTGAGAGATAACTCTGATGACATTGTGTTCATTTTTCCATTAGAGCATCCTCTCGAAACTCCTTAATAAGAACACCTCAGCCCAGGTGTGACAATCCCTGTAATCCCTTATTCTGATTTGTCATCCATCCAGTCAGGGTTGCAAGAGATCTGTAATCCACAGTGTTTTGTCTCATTCAGTTCATTTACTGAATCCTTCATGCCCTGCATTCATAAACCATTCCCCAGGATTCAGAATCCAATTCAGCAGGAATCATAGATTATTTGGTGCATAGGTGATTGATTTATTCATTCTGGTCCCAAGACCTATTTTAAATGGCAGAAAGCATTCAAGATTTACATTCTGACTAGGTTTGAAGCTAAAGCACCCTGTCTGATGAACTGATCCACCTGTGACAGTTCTTTCTGCCCTGTCTTGTTAGTTACACAAACACATAACTATTGCTTTCTACATATACAAAAGAAGATGTCTGTTATAAAAGTTTGAGGTTTTTTTTATTTAACTATCCGAGTACTAGCTCAGAAAAAAGGTAAGATAGAGAGACTACATTGCAATAGATGAGATGTTGACTATGAACAGCCTGAGTAGCTCAGAGATGGCATGTTCCAGTCTCCAGCACTGGAGTAGAGAACTGGGAGTATGGTGGTCAAAGTGTGGAAGAGATGGGAGTGCAGGAAATGACAAGACAGGTGACGACAGTACAGTTCAGGAGGAAAAGATGTTCAGAGAGTGGCTAAATGTAGGGCTTATTTTTATCCATAAAGCCTTACATTTTGTTTCCTTATTCTCAAATGTCATGCAATGGGCCCTTAGATGCTAATTCCTGTCATTGCCAATTTCTTGATATTTAATATTTACCACTGACATATTTTAAATTACAATATGGTTTTTGTCATATGACCGGTTCAGTAGATATTGAGGTCATTTAGGTAACAGCTATCAATTTTGCAGGTGTGTCATGAAGCTAATTATTATATTTTATTTATTTTGATTTATGTTTGTTTCTATGTATTTCAGTTTTGCATTTCTGTAGGAACAGAATGAAATAATAGATGGCATATTGAGTTCTTACTGCAGATACATATTTGATTTTTTGAATGTATAGATTTACTGTTATTTCATTCAACTTATTTTTTTATTTCATACAATTAGAAAAGTAAAGCTGTATGTCCAATGCAAACCATCTTTTTAGTACTTGGGATGGTACTGTTCTCATGCAGAAAAACAAGATCATCACCCCTTAAAATAGTGGAGCTGCCAATTACTCATACTGCATTGTGTGTGAAGGAAAAAAAATGAGATATGCAATTAGAATTCAATATATAATACTAGCAAAGTTTCACCCTTTACCAGAGATCATGTGGCAGATCACTTTGAATTTGACCAGAGTATGAGCTCTTACCCTGTCAAATAGATGTGTACTTAACGTCACCCAGTTTAATGACAATGGGATTTCATCAGACAAACATCAATGTCCATCAAGCATTATACCATATACCAAAAGAGCATTAATAAGACAAGTCTGAAAAAATCTACAGTGTGCAGAAATGAGAGACACAAGCGAAGATAAGTTTGTTGAATCCTACATAAGTGCCACAAAAGGCATGTAGCTAGGAGAAAGCTTTTTTCAGCTACATCTTAAAAAACAGTGACAGTCCTTGTCCACTGAAGTATGTCACCATCATGTGGCATTCCAGAGGTCAGCAGCCTGAATTCTGTTTTCAGCAATCCAGTCAAAGCAGAGATGTAAAGGTATGGAAAATGACAGGGGATGAATTCCGGCTGTCGAACATGATCACTGTCGTGGCGTGGGCTTCTATAAAGTAGTGTGAAAAGCAAACCTTGTTTACATTTATGGTAATTTAAATAGTTGCAACATTAATCTACAAAACCACCACTTTCCACTCTTCCATCAACGTGTTTTACAGTCTTATTCACACATTTCAGAGGGACAGTACCATTT